TTGTTATCTCAGATTCTCCAGCATCTGCAGTTCCTACTATCTCTGAAACAAAGGAAGAGACTGCTCACTGGGATCCAGGTAAACTTGAAATTAAGGTAATTAATTCCTTGCAAACAAATGTGGAATCTCTAAGTTTAGTCTATGTAACTTCTGCAGCTTGTGGATGGGGAAATTCTGTGGCTTGTTTTTGTAGTGAATAGTATCAATTGTTAAATTTAAATCAGAATTTCTGATCAGAGATGCAGTGAAAAGGGTAACAACCAACCACTTAAAACTTTCCAACTTTGTGTATGGAAATGCATTAACTGTGATCTCACTAGTATGTGGAATGTGTGCTTAAGGTAAAGAAAGAGAATGAGAGTGAGGGAGGAGGAGGAGACTGCCCATAGTAAATCATGCTTCCTGCAACATATTAGACAGGGTGCGTGGTCTATTTTGGATGAGGCTCTCAGCACACAATCAAGAAATACTTGCGTCAGCTAGTGTAATCATGACATCTGATATTCCCTCCCCTTTTGCTAGATGCATATTTCACCTCTTGGTTTCTCCTTTATATGTGGACTTCCATTCAATCATCACAAAACCACAAACAATACACTTAGAGACATGAATGCTTACTTCAAGTTCAACCTCTGGATTGCGTTCTTCTCCTTGCCGACTTCTGGTGCTCTGTTTGGTGTGGGGGACGGGGGAGAACAAACATATTAGTCCTGGAGTGCAACACATCAGAAAAACAAACTTTTCAATTAGATCTTCAGCAAAAAACTGCCCTGAGAATACCTGCATACACTCGAGCAACTGAACAATCAGAACTAGGATTAAAATTACAAATATTTTGTTATGTTACAGCACACCAAAGGCTTGGCCACAAGCTATAAATTATGTTGCACACAAATGCTGAATTTATCAAAATGTACCTTCACTCTTCTTTGTAAATCATCTTCTACATCTTTTAACATGCCTGGAAATAGAATTTAACGGAAATAGCAGAATATTTCATGGATTAGTATGTGGTTCAACAGATAGAAAGGATTCAGGCATACATTTTATGCTACAGAAACAGTAATTCCGCATTGAACAAAGCGGCATTTCAGATGAGCATTTACTAAAGTGACATTTAACTCTCTACTATTAAATCAGAATTATGGACGATATACATTTGTTGTGTCTCAATGTTTATTTTTGCAATTGAATCAATGACTATCACATAAAAAGTGGTTTCATTTCTAAGTCAGGATAAATCCATGCCAATTATTTCTAATAACTTCAAAACAATTCACATTTAACCAAATTTTAACCTTGACTTTAATTTATTTCAGTCTTAGTCAAGAGTAAATAAGGTGCCTGCTAAGACCAGCTACAATTATTTAATTAGTGGGCTGGTTAGAACTAGTCTCTCGCAAACAAAGCCTGACTCAGATCTTTGGAATTCCAACTAGGATAAACACAGGAGAGCTTCACTAATGCATGGAGTTAGAATGCTCAACAATGTACAACTGTGAACACAGATTTGATTCAGTGAAGGCAGAGGTACTGTTCAGGAGTGGCTTGAAAGAGAGTCTAGATACAAATCTAACTTAAGTCCTGAGGCAGTAAATTAAGCGAGCAGGTAGATGATCGAGTGAGGTAAGTTTTAACAGTGCCCTTCCTTTAAATTGCAGGTGGCGTGGTTGTTTGAACTAGCATTGGGGAGATATAAATAACACACCGAGTTAAGAGTTTAACTACTTAGTATCACTAAAAATAATAGTGATATCTACAAACTTGAAACCCTAATTAGATAAATAAGGATGGCAGGGCAGAGTGTGATACATTTCAACTGTAGTACATGGAATCTAGCAGACCCCACTGTAACCCACTGCAGTCACATTAGAGCTACAGCTCAAGAAAACTCCACTCAGTTGATGAACTGGAATCTGAACTTTGATACTGCATCAGAAAGGAAGAAAGTTACCTGAATTCTGATTAAGGGCCAGTCATACCCTTTATTTAGACTTCTGCTCTGGTCTGTTGTCAACAGAGCTATACAAGTGAGGCAGAGAGTACAACAGAATACAAGAGTGTCTTCTCATGCGTGATTCATACTTACTTTACCTGCATGCTGGCTTTGTAATGAGGATGATTATTGCAATGTTTACCACAAGGGGCATGGAATATGAAAGGAGGCAAGTCTTGCTAAAACTGCATAAAGGATTTGTAGAATGTGCCTGAAGTACCACGTACAATTTTGGTCCCATTAAAATGGGGAATGGAGACAGATCTCAGAAGTTTCAATAGTTTAATTCCAAGAATGAATGGCTATCTTGGGCCGAGTAGGTTGGGCTCTACTCATTGGAGGAGTTAGAAGAATGGTAGTGATCTTATTGAAACACAAGATTCTAGAGTCTTGACAGGGAAGTTGCTGATAGGGTATTCTTCTTATGGAATTAGACCAGAACTTGGACGGACAGTTTTAAAATAAGTAGCCTCAATTAAAATGGAGATGAGAAGGAACAAGGTTTACCAATCTTTGGAAGTGCCTACATCAGCATGCAGTGAAGTCTAGAACTTTGAATACACACAAGGCTGAGTTAGACAGATTTTATATGTACAAGTAAGTCAAGAGTTATAGGGGCAGACAAAGTGGATTTAGTGTCACATCAGATCAGCTGTGACTTTAATGACTGGCAGAACAGTGTTGTAGGGTTGAATGACCTATTTCTACTATTTCTTATGTTTCCAAATCAAGGGTGTATGAATTTTTATTCCAAATGTTAACCTGCTTTTTTTCTTATTCATTTGTGGCGTGTGAACATTGCTGGTTGGCCAGCATTTATTGCCTATCCCTAGTTACCCTTGAGGTGGTGGCGGTGAGTTGTCTTCTTGAATCCTGGGGCAGGAATTCCAAGATTTTGACCCAGCAACAGTGAAGGCATGGCAATATATTTTCAAGTCAGGATTGTGAATGGCTTGGAGGGGAACTTGAAGACGACTACATTCCCACATGTGCTTCTCTTGTCCTTTTGGATGGAAGTGGTTGTCAGTTTGGAAGGTGCTATCTAAGAGTCTTTGGTGAGTTTCTGCAGGGCATCTTGTAGATAATATATACTGCTGCTATTGACTGTTGGTGATGGGGGGAATGGATGGTTGTGGATGTCATGCCAATCAAGTGGGCTGTTTTGTCCTGGATAGTGTCAAGCTTCTTGAATGTTGTTCAAGCTGCACCCATCCAGCCAAGTGGGGGGTCAGGAGATGAGTTACTCGCTGCAGTATTCCTAGCCTCTTGCCTGCGCTTGTAGCCACTGTGTTTATGTGATGAGTGCAGTTGAGTTTCTGGTCAATAGTAAATCCCAGGATGCTGACCACAGGGATTCAATGATAGTAGTACCATTGAATGTCAAGCTGTGTTGGTTAGATTGTCTCTTATTGGAGATGGTCATAGCCTGGCATTGGTGTGGCATGAATGTTGTTTGCCACTTGTCAGTTCAAGCCTGGATACTGTCCAAATTTTGTTGCATTTGAACATAGACTACTTCAATATCTGAGGAATCACGAATAGTGCTGAGCATTATGCAATCATCAAGGATCATCCCCACTCCTGACCTTATGACAGGGGGAAGGTAATTGATGAAGTTGAAGATGGTTGGTCCATGGACACTATCCTGAGGAATTCCTGCAGAGATATCCCGGACCTGAGATGACTGACCTCCAACAATCACGACCATCTTTCTATGTGTCAGGTAAGATTCCAATCAGTAGAGAGTTTGTCCCCTAATACCCATTGATTTTGGTTTTGCTAGGGCTCCTCGAAACTGCACTCAGTCGAATGCAGCCTTGATGTCAAGGGTGGTCACTCTCACCTCCCTCTCCATGTTTGAATCATGACTGGAATAAGGTCAGGAGCTGAGCGGCCCTGGCAAAACCCAAACTGGGCATCAGTGAGCAGGTTATTGTTGAGCAGGTGGTGCTGGATAGCACTGTTGTTGACACCTTCCATCACTTTACTGATGATTAAGAGTAGACTGATGGGGAGGTAATTGGCTGGGTTGGATCTGCCCTGCTTGTTATGTACAGGGCATAGCTGGGCAATTTTTCACATTGTCGGAGAGATGCCAGTATTGTTAACTGTACTGGAATAGTTTGGTTAGGAAGCAGCACATTCTGGAGCACAAGTCTTCAGTACTATTGTTGGAATGTTGTTACGGCTCATAGTCATTGCAGTATCCAGTGTCTCCAACCATTTTTTGATATTACTTGGGCTGAATCGAATTATCACAGAATGAATCGAACTTTTGCTATATTTTTGATGTACTGAATATAAATTTTCTATTTAGTCACACCCAAGCCTTACCTTTTATTCTTCCCCAATTCCCCATTCCCACGGCATAAAACTCATCACCTTCTTCTAGTTTTGAACACAATTACATTTGACTCGAAATGCTAACTGTTTCCCAATTGATAGATGCTGCCAGACACAAAGTACATTTTGTTTTTACTTCCAATTTCCAGCATTCAGAGTTTTTTTGCTTTCAACAAATTATGCCATTGTTTCATTAAACAACATATGGTTACCTGTAACTCTCAGATCTGTAACATTATTGGCCATTTTGAAGCCATAAGTCATTGATTGGAAATCCTCCTGAAAATACCAACAAAAGTAAACAGCTAGTAATTGACAAGTAATACATTTGTAGAATATTTAAGTATATTCCTTACAGGTGGGGATTTGCATCTCCCATGACTTACTTGCAATGGAATAAATAAACAATTGGAAATTAGCAATAGGTTTTATTGCTGGCGAATGATTAACAGCAAAATTCTGCTTTCCTTTATAGGGTTCAATTCTATCTAATAGTAGTGGTGATGAATTCAGATTTGAACAGCGCTCAGGTATTTTTGAAGAGAGGCTGGAGAACAATGTTGCAGAACATTAAGTGTTAAGTAAACATGACTAAAATATGACTTTTCTTTTGCAGGTGGTATGCAGGAGTACTGGTACTTTCTGGAATGCAACTTCACTTATGGATATTTAGCATTTTTGAACAATGACAATCTAGTGACAGTTAATGCACTATTATCATCCCACGATTTGATAATAAAACCACACAAAATATTAGGTGGGGTAGCATGCATTTTTTCACTCCTTTTTTCTTTAAGCATCTACCTATTTTATTTGGTGCAGACATGATGTGAATGGATTGTTGAATCACACATTCAAAGGTTGATCTACTGACATTAGATCGTTAAGGACAACTACAACATGAGCATCATTTAATCACAGACAACTCTGATCTCAAATAATGGGATCTGAACATGTCCAACATGGAACTGCATTTTAAACTTTATCTTTAGTAATGAGAAGCAGATTGATATGTATGACTGCTCACTTGCATATAATTTAAATGCAATTTGACGTGATTTAATCTAACCTCCCCAATTTAGTGATGGGAACCCATGTCACTTGATAGTACCGAATCTGAATAATGCTAAAAAGAAAGAGATATGCTTCTGTCAATTTTTGTCTCGCATTCATCTGAATAGATGGAAGAACACCCAATTCCAAAGACAGCAGCAACTTATACCACATTACAATTGATTCCTGGGATGGCAGGACTGATGTCTGAGAAATACTAGATTAATTAGGACTATACTTAGAAGACTGAGGATCGATCTCAGAAATCTATAAAATTCAAACAGAACAAGACAGGGTAAATGTTGGAAGGATGGTCTCGATGATTGGGAGTCCAGAAGCACGGGTCACAGTTTCAGAACTAGGACACTTGTTAGACGTCACCTGGAGTATCGTGTGTAGTTGTGGGTGTCATATTATAGGAAAGATGTGAATGCATTAGAGACAGTGCCAAAGTGATTTCCAAAAATGAATTTTGTCAGTCCTGGAACCAGTTATAAATAAAGATAGATTGAAGAAGTTGGAACTGTTCTCCTCAGAGTAAAAGACTGAAATGAAATTTAATTGGTGTTTTCAAAATCATGAGCAGGATAGATAAAGTAGATAGGTATGTAAAGGGCGTAGGTTTAAAATACGTGTAAAAGGAAGCAAGGGTCATGCCAGAGAAAGCTTTTCACACAGTGAGTAGTTAGGGTAAGGAATGCACTGCCTGGAAATATGGCAGAGACAGGTTCAATTATGGCATTCATGAGGGTATTGACTGATTATCTGTTCAGAAATGGTGTGCAGGAATATGTCAAAAAGGCAGGAGATTGGCACTAAGTAAAAGAACTGGTGAAGCCATCATGGATTAAATGACCTCCTTCTACAGTGTAACAACTCTGTGATTCTATGATCCATGTGGAATAAACTGGAACAAGAGGTAGTTGCTGAAGGAGATACGATTGTGAAAATAAGTTTCGATATTTCTTTACCCTCCCCCTTTTGCTAGTTCAATATCTATTCCATCTTTTACTATCCCCACCTCTAATCAAAGATCAAGGGTTAGATCAGCTTCTCTTCCCACAAATACCATCACAACTGCTCTACATTTGCAGCATTTTCCATTTTTATTTCACATTTCCAAATCTGCAGTAGTTTGTCATTATAAAAGTCAATTTCTTTCGCTTGGACCATAAAGAAAAATGATACTGGCACAAATCTGGAGTAACATTTGCTTAATAACTTATTTTAAAGATCTATTCTCCATAATTTTGGTCCTGCTTAAAATCCTTGCACTTACTTCTTCAAAAACAGCTGCTTTGTTGACTTTTTCTCTGGCAATGTCACAGATCTTTAGGATGCCCAGAGCAAAAGCTTTCATTGCAGAATCCTCAATTAAGTCTGGATTATGAACATAAAGACACGTGAAGACTGTCTGGGCCAAAGAATGCCCTTCTAGCCATGTTATCTGTGAGAAGAAACTATGGAGTTAAGATTCTAATTCCAAATTATATTTACATTTGGCAATATCAAACTGCTTTGTATTTGAACATTTCCCGTATGTAGACGAAAAATCAAATGCGTGAATTATTGCTTATATCATATAAACCAATCATATTATTCAATATTTAGTAAGCAAATAGGTAAAAAAATTATGTTTGAATACAAAATATATACAGAATAATAAAATGAACTGAGTCTTTCTTTGGAGCTTGATTTCAATTGCTTTAAAATATAAAAATACTGAAGTACTATTAAAATATGTATGATAACTCAATGCACAATGGTGGCAATTTACAATCCTTACACAAACCATTTTAAATCTAATACCTAGTCACTGAATATGAGCGAATCTATTCGTAGTTTTGCTATTTAAAAAGGTATATCTGAAAATGCGCTTGTGGCGCAATGGTAGTGTGCCTGACTCCAGATCAGAAGGATGCGTGTCCAAATCACGTCAGGGTCCTGGTGTTTGGCTGCAGCATAACGCTCCGATTCATGTCGGGACAGAATTGGTTGTCTGGTGCTGCTGCTTAATCATGTTCCTCCTATTCAGCAGCTGTCAAATTTCATAACAGTTTGGGGCAGCACGGTGGCTCAGTGGTTAGCACTGCTGCCTCACAGCGCAAGGGACCTGGGTTCAATTCCAGCCTCAGGTGACTGTCTGTGTGGAGTTTGCACATTCTCCCTGTGTCTGCACGGGTTTCCTCCAGGTGCTCCGGTTTCCTCCCACAGTCCAAGGATGTGCAAGGTAGGTGGATTGGGCACGCTAAATTGCCCATAGTGTTCAGGGATGTGTAGATTAGGTGGGTTGCTCGGACAGTCGGTGTGGACTTGTTTCCACGCTGTTTGGATTCTATCATCATACAGGTTTTTAAACAGCATTTTATTGGATTAGACTTTTAATAGAATTCTTTACTTTCATAAAGTCCTTGATTTCTACCCATCTAATTCAGGATGGACTACTTAAATAAATAGTAACTTTTATAAATTTTGTTCAATTATATCAGTTCAATTTATTAAAAGTTTTCTAAATAAGCCAAATTATCTTAGAACTGCAGCAGAACTAAATACATTCAATTGAGTTATCACTGTAAACCAAGAAAGAACTATAAACAATTAGTTTTCAAGTATTGAAAAAACCAATTATTTTTCTAATAACTTTTCTTCACTTCTAGGTCAGTCTTTATTACGGATAATTTTTCATTCTATATATCTTTAGGTGTATGATTCTACCCTTGCACATTCACTATTGCTTCTTACTTTCAAATGACTCCCACAGTAGTTTGTAGAATTACTCTATTCAATATAGTCCCTTTTAGCTGATTGAAATTAAAAAGAGAAGGGCAAACTTTATGTTTTAATGCTGTTTGCCTTAAAATAATTGAGAATGGCTGAGGGCTTCTGTAAGCAATCAGCTATAATATGAAGATCATGAAAAACATGAGAATAGATAAGTCAGCTGGGCCAGACGGGATATACTCGAGGTTACTACGGGAAGCGAGGGAAGAGATTGCTGCCCCTTTGGCAGTGATCTTTGCGTCCTCACAGTCCACTGAAGTAGTGCCAGAAGATTGGAGGGTGGCAAACGTCATTCACTTGTTCAAGAAAGGGAATAGGGATAATCCTGGAAATTACAGGCCAGTCAGTCTTACTTCTGTGGTGGGCAAATTATTGGACAGGATTCTGAGAGATAGTATTTATGATTATTTGGAAAAGCACAGTTCGATTAGAAATAATCATCATAGCTTTGAGAGGGGCAGGTCATACCTCACAAGCCATATTGAATTCTTTGAGGGTGAGACAAAACACATTGATGAAGGTAGAGCAGTGGATGTGGTGTATATGGATTTTAGCAAAGCATTCGATAAGGTTCCACATGGTAGGCTCATTCAGAAAGATTCAGGGAAATTTGGCTGTCTGGATACAAAACTGGCTGTCCAATAGAAGACAGAAGGTGGCAGAAGATGGAATGTATTCAGCCTGGAGCTCGGTGGCCAGTGGTGTCTGCAGGGATCTGTTCTGGGACCTCTGCTCTTTGTGTTCTTTATAAATGACTTGGATGAGGAAGTGGAAGGGTGGGTTAGTAAGTTTGCTGATGACACGAAGTTTGGTGGAGTTGTGGACAGCGTGGAGGGCTGTTGTAGGTTGCAACGGGACATTGATAGGATGCAGAGCTTGACAAAGAAGTGGCAGATGGAATTCAACCCAGAAAAGTGTGAAGTGATTCATTTTGGAAGGTCGAATATGAATGCAGAATACAGGGTTAACGGCAGGATTCTCGGCAGTGTGGAGTCTTGGGGTCCACGTCCATAGATCCCTCAAAGTTGCGACCCAAACTGATAGGGTTGTAAAGAAGGCGTATGATGTGTTGGCTTTCATTGGCAGGAGAATTGAGTTTAAGAGCCGTGAGGTTATGCTGCAGCTCTATAAAACTCTGATTAGACCACAATTGGAATATTGTGTTCAGTTCTGGTCACCTCATTACAGGAAAGATGTGGAAGCATTAGAGAGGGTGCAGAGAAGATTTACCACGATGCTGCCTGGACAGGAGGGCAGGTCTTATGAGGAAAGGTTGAGGGAGCTAGGGCTTTTTTCATTGGAGCGAAGAAGGATGAGAGGTGACTTGATAGAGGTGTACAAGATGATGAGAGGCATAGATAGAGTGGATAGTAAGAGACTTTTTCCCAGGGTGGAAATGACTATTACAAGGGGGCATAATTTTAAGGTGATCGGAGGAAGGTATAGGGGAGATGTCAGAACTAGGTTCTTTACACAGAGAATGGTGGGCGTGTGGAATGCGCTGCCGGCAGTGGTACTGGTAGTATCTGATACTTTAGAGACTTTTAAGCAACTCTAGGATAGGCACGAAGAGGATAGTAAAATGTAGGGTATGCAGGGTAGATTGATCTTAGTAGGATAATAGGTCAGCACAACATCGTATTTTCAAACATCGTGGGCCGAAGGGCCTGTACTGTGCTGTACTGTTCTATGTTCTATGATGACAGCAATGGTGTACATAACATGATTCACACCAGGTGAACCCCTATGAAAACGAAAGAACTGTGGATGCTGTAAATCAGGAACAAAAACAAAGTTGCTGGAAAAGCTCAGCAGGTCTGGCAGCATTTGTGAAGAAAAGATCAGAGTTAACGTTTAGGGTCCAGTGTCCCTTCCTTAGAAGGGTCACCGGACCCGACCCGGAACGTTAACTCTAATCTTTTCTTCACAGATGCTGCCAGACCTGCTGAGCTTTTCCAGCAACTT